GGCGTGCTTTACATTTATTAAAAGAAAATGGCCAAATTAATTGGAACACGTAGGCAACTGACTTATGTGGCCATCCACACACACACACACACATGCACACAGACACACACACACTGGTTAACCCTTTGTGGCCCGAGTTTATTTGGTACATTAACTTTCGGTTTCACTTTTGCGGGGCATCCATCATGGGCAGCTGGTAATGCGGTTGTCGGAGAAACTAAACCAGGTTAGGATTCAGGCGTTCTCCTGCATGTTTGTGCAGTTTTTTTTTCGTAGAGTCATCGCTTGATGATTACGTTGAATCAGCAAGTAATCATGTTGTGCAAACTGGCACACCCACACAGACACACGCACGCACACACACATACACATGGCTATTACCAAAAGCCAATAGCTGGACTGGAGCAGGACAACGTGGCCACAATTATCGAGCAAAAAGCAGCAATAGTGAGCACCAACAGCAAAGAAGTTGCACTCAAAGACGTCTCTCTTATACACTGTATCAGCCCAGCTTGGAAGTAACTAAACAATATTTTGTTGCACCAATACTCCTAAAAATAGTATACAATTTAGTAGTGGTTTAAACAAATAAGTTTTTGGTACTAAGGGTGATTATTGAACTCATAATTGATATTTTTATGAGACAGCAGGTTATGTTGAGACATTCTCAAAATTTTAAATTTTTTTTACGCGAGTATATGATATGATGCTCCGATTTTGATAAAATATTCGATTATTTTCGATTTTTAAAACAATTTGAAAGTATATAGTATATAAATAAAGAGGTAAAGAGTGAACTGTGAACGGATCGTTCCAAAGACAGCTGTTTAGTAAATATTTTTAGGCCCATATAGGGTTTGTAATAAACTTGTACTGCGTTTGCATGGGACAAGTCTACTTGTCAAGTTTGCCGTCCCTAGCTGTCAACTCTTAGTAGTTGTCGGTGTTCATACAGTCGAACACGCGGACGGCTGGGCATGTCTATGCACATCGATTATTTAAAGCTATCTCCACATATAGTCATAAATAAATAAGCTAAAGAGTGAACTGGAAACGATCGTTCCAATGACAGCTATTATGTATGTATATATTATTAGGTTTGTAATAAACTTGCCCTGCGCTTGCATAGGATAAGTCTTCTTCTTATCTCCTAGTAGTTGTGGGTGTTCATACAGTCGAACACGTGGACGGCTGGGCATGTCTACATCGATTCGACTCATACTGCTCATCATATGCAATATGTACCTATAGCATTGTAGCAGTATACCCTTTCACCTTTCAGATGGTACAGGGTATAAAAAGGCTTTCAATTTCACTTGGCTTGTTTGCTTGCTTGCGGTAAACAGCTTTGGCAGCAGCTTGGTAGTCACATAAGTATAGTCTTGATCCTGTTGGTCCTGGTCCGCCGCCTGATTTTGGTGGCGCGCTCAAGTCAAGCATGCAACCGAAAGCGGCACGCAAACGCATCAAATCAATGAAAGTGCTGCCAATAGCGTCCAGTGTGTATATAGCAGCAAGTAGTTCCAGTTACCACGACCACGTTTTGCACTTCATTGAGTTCGCACAAACACGAGCACATCCCATACCAATACCCATACACCCAATACATCCAATACACCCACATACCCAGAGCCACAAGCATTTTGGCCCCAGAGTCAATGAAGCTGAAGCCAACAACAGAACTTGAAGCATTTTTCCATTCGCTTTATTTTGCTAATACTGTTGTTGGTCTTCTTGTTGTTGTTGTTGTTGTTGTTGCTGCTGGTTCGGCTGCTCTGCAAGTTTATGAAAATGAAAATTGCTAAGAAAATGGAAAATTCTTCATCATACTATTTTCGATTTTTACGCTATTGCAATTTTCCATTGCCTGTTATTCCCCTCTCCCTCTCCCTCTCTCTCTCTCTCTCTCTCTCTCTCCCTCTCTCTCACACTCTCTGTGTGTGTGTGGCACGTAATTGCACTTGTATGAGCTTATTGAGGCGTGGCACTGCCCCTTGCTCCGTTACCTGCATCCTTGCTGCATAGAAATCCAGAGCCATAACTCAATGTGCAATATGCTTGATTAAATGTGAATACAAATCGCTTATTGGCAACAAAACGGCAAAAATAAAGAAAAATATTGTATACCAGCTGTGCAGAGAAAAGTATTAAATTTTATATAACTGCTTATATGTATAATCAACAATTTGATAGAATCATTTAATTGGGTCAAGAAATGATTAGGAGTTGCCATATGTCAAGTGTTTTCTGGATATATGTGCATACACATGTTGATTAAAGAATGGAATCGAGCATAAATCGGTGTTATCGGAGCAGTTTTAGTAGTATTTTCCATTGTACTTGCTTTCTGTCAACAGCTTAAATACATTTCGAATGTCCCGCTTGATTCTACAATCCAGCACCGACTTTCTTGATTCAAGTCAAGTGTTTTCTGGATATATGTATATACACATGTTGATTAAAGAATGGAATCGAGCATAAATTGGTGTTATCGGAGCAGTTTTAGTAGTATTTTCCATTGTACTTGCTTTCTGTCAACAGCTTAAATACATTTCGAATGTCCCGCTTGAGTCTACAGTCTAGCACCGACTTTCTTGATTCAAGTCAAGTGTTTTCTGGATATATGTGCATACACATGTTGATTAAAGAATGGAATCGAGCATAAATTGGTGTTATCGGAGCAGTTTTAGTAGTATTTTCCATTGTACTTGCTTTCTGTCAACAGTTTAAATACATTTCGAATGTCCTGTTTGATTCTACAATCCAGCACCGACTTTCTTGATTCAAGTCAAGTGTTTTCTGGATATATGTGCATACACATGTTGATTAAAGAATGGAATCGAGCATAAATCGTTGTTATCGGAGCAGTTTTAGTAGTATTTTCCATTGTACTTGCTTTCTGTCAACAGCTTAAATACATTTCGAATGTCCTGTTTGATTCTACAATCCAGCACCGACTTTCTCGATTCTACCTCTGGGCTTGCGAATGGTTCTTCCAAAAATAACGGATTGCGGCAGTTCTTGAATCAGACTTCTCCTAAAAACGATAGGGCATAGTTGGCACATTGTTAATATTTATGACAAGTCTGTTTGCAAATAAATTTTGTTTGTTTTCAGATACGAAGTACAAAAGAAAAATCAAAATGCCTAACGTAAAATTGCAGACAGTGGACAATGAAATCATCGTCGTCGATGTGGAGATAGCCAGGATGTCGCGCACCATCATGGGCCTGTTGGACGCTCGTGAGGATCAGGAGAGTGTTATTCCACTGACGAATGTCAAGTCGGACATTCTACGGAAAGTTATCACTTGGGCTACGTATCATCAAAATGATCCGCCACGCAGTGATGACGAAGATCGACGCGGCCAGCCAATTCCCGATTGGGACAAGCAGTTTTTTGCCGTTGATCTAGGTGTTCTGTACGAGCTGATGATGGCTGCCCACTACCTAGACATAAAGATGATGCTCGAGTTGTCCTGCAAGTCTATTTCCAATATGATAAATGGCAGAACTGCTGAAGAAATGCGCAACATTTTGCACATTCCCGAGGATGAGCCCTATGGAGACTAGAAACTGAGCCGTCTTCAGACCTCAACTCCAACAAATCAAATATAACCTAAATCCTCACTCAACGGCTGCACACAAAACTCATCAATTTACACATACATATGTTGAACAAAGTGCAAATTAAAAATATGAATAATAAAAAGGGGCCCGAAAAATGTGATTAATGAATAGGAAATGTGAAAAACAGACACTCCACTACTCAGCTCGTGTTTGAAGGTTGAATGTGCATTCTAAGAACAAGAATTCAATGGCATCTAAGCTTTTAACAATCTATATAGAACCTGGCTATGTTATACAGCTGTTATAGAAACCATCGGTGCAGATATCAGTTGAATGTGCATTCTAAGAACAAGAATTCAACAATAAAACCTCGTACAATAGTTCATAAAAAATAATTCATAATAACAGACTTGTTATAATTTCCGGTATTTTCGAATTTGTTTCCAATTTGGTTGTAAATAAATTTAGGTAGCATTGTGGGAAGGAATTTCTGCTCGTTTATTAGAACTAGAATTGTGCTGCAAATAATTAGTAATATCGTGAGATTATGAGCTATTGTATTGTATACCTTATAGATGTTATGGGATCTAGTCTAATCATTCAAGTGAAATACAGCAGGTTAATCATTTTTGTTTTTCTCAACTTTTTATTAAATTGGAAATCTATTTACTCTGCAAATGTCAAGGCCAGGCATACGTTTACAATCAGTTTCAACACCAAACAATATCAAATATACACTTAAAAAAATTCCGAAATTACCAACTAGTTTTAACTTTTGAGAAAGTGTCTTTCTAAGCAAACGCTTTTTGAAATTTCTTTCTAAATTCCAGTGGAATATTTCTTCTGATAAATAAGATAATAACTTTTGAAGCAATGGCTCTAATTTGAACTTATTACAAGTTTTCAAAAGCAAAAATAGTTTGTAAAAATGTTGCATTACGGCTCTGATTTTAAACATTTCTTAGTACTAGAAATATGTGTTAATATTTTATAAATCTGGAGAATCTATTGCTTTTAAACTAACCAATAAACTTGCATGAGGTCCGATTAGGAGTTGACATTATCGAATCGATTTCTAAATATGCGAAATCTGAACGAAATAGTAATTTATTGGTGTTTTAGTTTCAGTTACAAATTATAGCCACAGCTATTATATTTCAACAGACATTTAGGCATAATCAGCCCTAAACGGAAGTGGGTTTTAGATCCGTAGCCTGAAATGGGGACTTTTTAATAAAAACACGACAGAGATAAGGCGGGGCTATCAGCTCTTGATTCTACTTGTATTCGACTCGATGTAATAGCTGATTAGTGAATGAATCATTGATATCGTTTTTTTATGTAATTTATTTGTTAAATGTAGCACAACAATTAACCAGTGTAACGATTATTGATTATTGTTTTGCATTTAACTACAAAAGGAATTGAAAATGCTGTAATAATTTTGTTTGTTTTATTTAAAGTAAAAGTTGTCTACTTAAAATACAATCTATATTATAAAAAACCATTGTCTATAAATTAATTGCTCTAGGGAATTGTTTTGCCAACTCCGAAAATTAGTAATATACTCATACTTAAAAGTGGCTACAACTTAATTGTTTTAAAAAATTGGCTTGCCAGCTGCCAAAGGAGGAGAACCACACTCAGATGCCATGTGATCTCAGATAATTGAACAGTGCGCCATCCACCATTACAGCTGTCCACTGACTGCTCCTCCCAATATACTTGGGAGAGCAACGAATAATTGCTGGCCTTGTCCTCGATCAGTTTCTTATAAGCCGGATTGATTTCGCGTTGTCGTGTGAACAGCTTGAAGAGCGGAACTGGCGAAATGCTCGCATAGCCACAGAGCAGAGCGACCGTTGAGTAGTCCGTGTAGACCAACTTATAGACGACGGTGACATTGAGCGTGGAGCTGGAGAACTGCAGAACAAAGTTGCCGTTCTCGAGAGAATTCGCGGGAAATGAGATCACTTCGTGCGTTGGCAACCACTTGCCATTAACCGTGCTGATATAAGATAGCTCCAGATCGAGCTTGTCGCTTGAACTAACTGTTGCCGGCACGGAGACGTTTAAGCACTCCAGTACATCGACGTTGGGGACGCGCGCCGCTTCGTACCAGTAGCCAGCCATCTGAGAGAAAACTTTTACTCAAAGCGGAACATTCAATTATACCGATTGTGCACTAACCTTCTCGAGATCTATGGGAAAATCTTTGGCATTTGCATAACAACTCCAAGAAAACTTCGCGGCTGTTGCTGGCGAGATGTTGTGCAGACATAGCCCGCACAGCAATGCTGTTCCTATTAGTAGTGCTCTCATTATGAGCTTTACGGGGCGACTAAACAGCTCCGGTACTGCAGACCTTCAGTGATAGTGTCATGCTCGGTGCTTATCAGCACTCAATTATCTGTTCAGGCGAGAACTTTATACATATACGAGCATATATATTGTATATATTTTATATTGGACACAAATATCACGCCTCACTGAGCTTACGCTCCCAATGTACTAATAAGTAAGCGTGCACTTGATGTGTACTGAGACTGCTAATCAATAACGATTTATTTGATTGATAAGACGGAAAGGAGCATATAAAGCACTTCCCACTACTCTAAGTTACAAAAAACTAAGCCCGAAATATGGAGAATGGCGCTGCTACTATATAATGATCCAATATTGTTTTGCCATTAACTTAGGTAAATGTCTAAAGCTAGTACCATACATATTGATATAATTTAACATGCCTACTGCAGCGTATAATTGCCTTTTCTAATTGCAAATACAGCTAATTCTGTTTTTACACGGTGGATTGGTTCCAGAAACAACCGTGTAAAAATCATAAATCATATGCAAAAATAGGTGATTGGTTCCTTAGCTCTAAAGAAATATATATGAAATTTGTAATTTTCAAACCGTGTTGTATCAAAATCGAGTAAAAAAAGACCGTGTAAAAACAGAATTAGGTGTAATTCGGTAATAGATTGATTCATGTAGGGCCATAACACTTGTATGTATTTCAGTTTTTGAAAGTTAAATTCTTTTGTTTCTTATTATCGTCTTAATATATTTTAATTTTGTATTTCTAATTCGGACAATTGAACTTTTGCTTTATTTATTTAAATTTGTTCCCTCCATCATCGAAATCGGCGCTGCATTTTGTATTATATTACTGGACTCTGGGGGAGTGTGGAAGAGCCGATTAGAGTGTTTCCGTGACTCCTTAATATTTATATTCATAACTCTTCTTGTGAAGTTTTCTAATGTCTCCACATCTGACTGGAGAGCAAACAATTCGAATACCTTATTTTATATTATTGGAATTTGTTAAGTTTTTCTTTCACTTTTTACGACATAAGCTTTCTTTATGATTTTCTTTAGAGTGATTGCAAATAAACTGATCTGTTCTTTTGCTCAATTTCAAATGATGAGGACTCCTCTTCTCTGGAAAGTGTAAAATTAATAGCTTTGAAGTATTAAAAGTAATTTTTATTGCGAGTACTTTATTATAAAAATTTGTTTCGCCTTATCAACACGAGAAATTGCAAATTGGAAAGCCAGATAACATACAAAATAAGTTGTAGGTAGTTAGGTGTATATTTAATTGTTATTAAAATATAGTTTATCTAAGGAATTATGTACTTACTCTTTTATATATTTAGCTATGAGAATGATTCACCTTTGGTGATTCATCAAACTCATAGAATTCAACAGAGACGGAAGGCAATCTTTTAATAAAAAAAATACTTTTTTTTTTATCAATTTATTATCATTGCTATTATTATTATTATTGGTATTAATATTTCACTTTTTACGACATAAGCTTTCTTTATATTTTTTTCTTTAGAGCGATCTGTTCTTTTGCTCAATTTCAAATGATGAGGACTCCTCTTCTCTGGAAAGTGTAAATTTAATAGCTTTGAAGTATTAAAAGTAATTTTTATTGCGAGTACTTTATTATAAAAATTTGTTTCGCCTTATCAACACGAGAAATTGCAAATTGGAAAGCCAGATAACATACAAAATAAGTTGTAGGTAGTTAGGTGTATATTTAATTGTTATTAAAATATAGTTTATCTAAGGAATTATGTACTTACTCTTTTATATATTTAGGTATGAGAATGATTCACCTTTGGTGATTCATCAAACTCATAGAATTCAACAGAGACGGAAGGCAATCTTTTAATAAAAAAAATACTTTTTTTTTTATCAATTTATTATCATTGCTATTATTATTATTATTGGTATTAATATTACAAAGCCGCTAAGGTGTCCTGCCAATAATGTAATTTTTCAAATTTTTTTAATAAGTGCGTTTTGGCACGAAATTAAATAAAAAGTTTTAAGATTTATTTTTTATTTAGTCGACGTATTTTTTGATTAACAAGTCGATTTTGTAATATTAGTAAGGCCAATACATATTTAGGCTGAAATTTGACAAAACAAAAACATTTTCTTTTTACATACACGTTTTTTTTTTGTTGGAAAAGCTTTAACTTAATAGTCATTAGAATTATATAAATATGCTCTTAAATAAAGAAGAATTATTTGTAAAATTAAAGTTAAATTAAAGTTCTTCATACGTTTTTCTTAAACTTGGCTGCTAGAAATTAGTTCAATTCATTCGAGCAGTATATTTGCGCATCCCAAAAGTATGCTGTTAAATTAAATTAAATTGTGTTCCATTCCAATTCATTCCACTTGGAAAACGGAACACTATTTTGCAGAATGCGGCATTTCAGCTCTCAAATAAATAGTTTATTGGAATATAGGCTTTTGGGTTTGATTATATTAAGATAAATAAGCTTAATATATTTATATTTTTTAAAATATATATTTAAATATATTTTTCATGTATAACTTGCGGACTTGCAACATTTTCGTCCACTGTTGTGCTTTCGTTACTTTCCTCTGTTAAAAGTTGGGGCAAATGGCAGCGAAAGTGCCATAGAAGAGACACGTTTTTCATTACGGTTATGTAAGTTTTGGCAGACTCAAAGGGCTAACTGACTGACTGCTTGACTGACTGAGTGGCTGTATGACTGGGCTGCTCAGACAATGAAATGGCTGCAAAATGTCCAGTGCAACAATGAGGCCCAGGTTGCAGTTGTTGAAGTCATTCCGCTCAACAGGCAAACGAAACTTTTTAAGTGAATTTTTGATTAGATCTGAACAAAGTTTGTGTCACAAACAAACAAACAAACAAACAAACAAAAAATACATACAAATAGTGCGCAGACAACTCTATATAGGTGTGCTTCTCTTCCTCACTCCATCTCTGTCTCTCTGCTTTTCGACTGACCAACTTAAAGTCTTCGGGACCAAGGACTCTGCACGTTGTTCCTTTCTGTAATTTGCGCAAGAGTAAATTTATTTGCGCAAAGGATAATAGTAAAATATGCGTTGGAGATGGCGCACCAAAAAGTTACAGTTACATTTACAGTGAAAGGACCAGACTATAGTGCTACTATATACGTATACTTCTATATATGTATGTGGAACCTGTGCTTTAGACTCAGGTAGAAACTGTACCTGAACTTTGCGCCGAAGTTCTGTTGTAAAGTTAATAAAATTATTTGCCACAGACGTTGATAAATATGACACAAGCCGGTGGAAATAGCAAATAAATATAGCGACGCCATTTTGGCGTGGCAACAAAATGGTTGCCCTGCACCTAACAGTGCATGCGTCGGCTGTTTTCTCCGAGGCTGTATTGTGTGTGTGTGTGTTTGTAGCCTTTGCGGTTGTTTTGAATTATGCGCTAAAGTTTTATTGCAATTTTTGTGCTCGGTGCTTAAAGTAATTGCTCTTTCTGTAATTGCTGCTTGGTCTTAATGGAAATACGCCCTTTGTAAATGGAGTATGCAGGATATTAGCAATATGGCATAAACAACAGTTTAGCAGGCTAACTAGCACTTGGGATTGTAAAAATCCTTCGAAACATTGGTTACTAAAATGAGCGGGCAGTCACATCTACCTAATAAATACTAGCAATTATTATAACTACTAGTACGCGATACTAAACCTAGCAATTTTCAAAACATTAAATTCAAAACTCCAATGAATTAAACAGGAATTAAACTAAGAAAATTAATGTTTATTTTAAACTTCAAGTAATGCAAATAAGGAAGCGACTTAGGATAATATTTAATAAAGCTGTCTCGTTACGTCACATCGAGTTGTTGATGTTCTAATTCTCTAGCCGAGTTTATCATCACACATAAATGGCTTTGCTGACTAAATCTTTTCAATTTTGGATTAAGTTTTATAATAATTACAAATATTGTAAGTAAAAATAAAATGATATGAAGAATTCAAAAAAAAAAAAAAATCAGAAAATACGTTCGCCTAGAAATCAATCTGAAATCCTTTGTGATGTGGAAACACCTTAGGAACAAAGTAGATAACAGCTATAGCTCGATGCCCTTTGGCTAAATATAGAGTTTGGTTTAATTAATAATCTGTTCTGATTTATGTCTTCCCTAAGTTGAAATATATTGGGAAACAGTTGAAAATTACACTTGACCCGAACAACTAAGAAGAAACATCTTAAGAAATCAACCAATATGGAATTACTTTAATATAAATCCATAAATCCAGTTTTTTCCTACTAAAGAATATTTCTTTATTGCTCATACTTTTACTCAGCAAGGTCACTAAATAAAATTTAAATTCAATATTAAGATTGGTTTGTCAAAGTCGTAAGTTTTTTTTATTTATTAGTGCCTTTTTGAGGTCCAGAACAATTTATTGTGGCGATATTAATGATTTTAGTTTTTATGTAGTCCATTTGTATATAATTAAGTATTTATTTATTACAAGTATATGTATTTCTCATGTGACAAATAAGAATTAAAAGTCATGCAGTTAAATGCGAAATTATTAAATAAAAATGTAAAATTGTAGAAAAATATCGATTCATAAACGAAAATAAAATCAAGTATTTTAGAATATGCTCAAACATTAATTTTACAAACTTATTTATTAAGCTCATTTGTAAGTAAAAAGGTGTGATAACAACTGTAGAAGAAATCAGGTAAAATTAGGCGACATTCACATCAGCTCTGAATTTAAAAAGGCATGTTATTTCAAGAGTTGTCTTAAGGTACACAAGATTCCCTCAGACATTAGCATTTTGAACTTTTATTATTTGAATTGTGCAAATAAGTATGTCTAGCAATAAACCGCCAAGTGCAAGTTGGGAAACCAAGACAGTTGACTTGTTTTGTCAGGCTGACTGGCTGACTGGCTGACTGACTGAATGAATGACTCAATGAGTGCGCAACAATGCCTGGCAAATTGCATAAAAATTTCGCGCACACTCAAAATTTTCAAGTGCGCCCACACATACACACGCACACATTTAACATTGGTGGCAAGTACGTTGGCTGGCTACGCCGCATGTCTCGCTTTTGAAATTTGCACAAAATTGCAAATAACTTGCAATCAAGGTGCAGCGAC